TGAATGACGTACTACATAATACATGATAAATACTCTCACTTTAATGCTTCGAGTTTAAACATTATCTCATAAATTAAACTCATTAAAGAATCATAAATAAATTAATTTTATTAGAAGAATGGTTCATTGTATCAAAATAGATTCATTACATCAGATTGATTAGAGAAGAAATAGATTAAATGCCTATGAAAGGAAAAACCAAATTGATTCTTGAAAAGGTTCCGGAGAGATTGATTTTGAGTATAATTAATGTAATATATTTTTAAAGATTATATAAGTCTCGTATATTTGGCCAAGAAATAAATAGAGTTTTGAAGTTGTAAAGAATTTTAAGTGAAAGATAGAATATCTTGTCTTATCTTACTCTTCCTTCATGTGATAATCCTATTTCTTCTTATTATTAAATTTAATATTTGGTATCAAAACCCAAGTTAAGTTATGACCTCTTTCCTAAACATCATTCAACTTCAAATCCCTAGATTGATAAAAAAAATTATAATATACGGTGCATCCAAATAAAAGTTCTTCTAGGTTCCGAGTTTATAGAAGATAGATTTTTTGAACCAGTAGAAGAAGGAGCAATGAGTGCCAAAGTAAAAAAATAGGTCAAAGATAGAAGGAAGAATGAGAAAAAAGCTTTGTTCATGATCTATTAAGGGCTTGATAATATAATATTCGAGATTATCACTTCAACAAATACTTTAAAAAGGCTTGGTAAATGTTTGGTGGTGTAGATAATGTAAAAAAATTTCATTTACAAGTTTTACAAGAAAAATACAAGGTACTTCTAAATCTATTTATGATTGTTTCTCAAAAGTTATTTTCTCAATATCGAAGTTATACAAGATAATAAAAAAAATTTTATCTCACAAGAAAATTATGCAAAGGAGGTTCTAATGAAGTTTTCTATAAAAGATTATCATCATACATATGCACCCGTAAAATATATGGCATAAAGTTAACCAAGGAAGGTGAAGGTAAATACATTAATCTAACTTATTATAAAAGTCTAGTTGGATGTTTAAGATATTTAATATGCACTCGACCTGATATACTATTTAGAGTTGGTTTAATAAGTAGATATATAAAAGCTTTAAGACATCTCATTTAAATGTAACGAAATAAATTTTGTGATATATTAAAGGGACAATTGAATATAGAATGTTTTATTCATCATCTAAAAGGTTGGAGCTCATTAGATATAGTAATAATGATTGGGCAGAAAGTTATGATGATCAGAAGAGTATAATTAGATTTGTATTTTAGTTTGGTGATACTACATTCACATGGTCTTCAAAAAAATAATATATTATTACTCTATCAAAATGTGAAGCAGAGTATATAGTAGCATCATCTTGTGTTTGTCATACAATATGGCTAAGAAGATTACTTCAAGAACTTCATATAGAAGTCAACCAAGATTTATATTGATAACAAATCAGATACTACCTTAGCCAAGAATCCAGTCTATCATAAAAGATCGAAGTAT